TAAGCTGCACTGGACCTCCACTGGTCCAGAAGGGTGACCGCCCTGGCCCCGTGTGGATTTCTCTTGGGTAGAAATGTCTCGGAGGTGTTCCTCCCTTGTTCTCCATTCCCGGTTGGCACAGAAAGCATGTAGCCCAGAAGTGCAGGAAGCTGGCCGATGTTCCACATCCTCCATGGGCAACCCTTTTGGGGTGTGTGCATCCTTTGCTGGACAAAATCTGGGGAATTGGGCAAGGCTTACTTTGAAACTTCTTCTTCCTGTTCAGTTGCAAAGCCGCGCCTGACTCTTCACAACCCCATGGACGACATTGCTCCAAGCTCTCCTGCCCTCCACCATCCCCCGGAGCCCACCCAAGCCCACACCCACTGCCCCAGTGACCCCATCCAGCCACCTCAGCCTCTGCTGCCCCCTTCTCCTTTTGCCTTCAATTGTTTCCAGCATCAGGGTCTTTTCCAATGAGTCCTTCCTTCTCATTAGGTGGTCAGAGTATTTGAGCTTCAGCTTTCGTGCCTGACCTTCCAAAGAGCAGTCAGGGTTGATCTCCTCTAGGACTGTCCGGTTTGATCACCTTGCAGTCCAAGGGACTCGCAGGAGTCTCCTCCAGCACCACAATCCAAAGGCCTCAATCCTTTGGCGCTCGGTCTTCCTTATGGTCCAGTTTTCACAGCCATACATTGCAACTGGGAAAACCATAGCCTTGATTATACGCACTTTTGTTGGCAGGGTGATGTCTCTGCTTTTTATTATGCTGTCTAGATTTGCCATAGCTTTCCTCCCCAGGAGCAAGCGTCTTTTAATTTCTTGGCTGCAGTCCCCGTCTTGAAGCCCAAGAAAATAAAATCTGTCACTACCTCCATTTCTTCCCCATCTACTTGCCAGGAAGTGATAGGACCGGATGCCATGATCTTAGTTTTCTTAATGCTGAGTTTCAAGTCAACTTTTGCACTCTCCTCTTTTAAACGCATCAGACCCTGCTGAATCAAACCACAGGCTTATCTAGTCCAGGCATTTGGCTCAGTTTGCTACCAGCTGCGTGTACGAACCTCCAAGGCTGACACCGTCCCAGCCATGTTCCTCCGCAACTGGCATACCCAGGCATCCTGGCTCTGAAACGAAGCAGGACACAATCATGAGGACTAGTAGCAGCCATGGAGAGCCTTTTCCATCAATGTAATTGTGGGGTTTCATTATATAAGAAATTATTTGGATGCTGTGCTCTAGTCTGCTTTTTTGTAAGACCGCCCCAAGACCTTGGGAGCAGATGGGATATAAAGGTTTTAAATAAATAAACCCCTTGTAAAGCCATCCACGCTGGTGCTTCCAGGCCACCTTGGGGTGCTGAACGCCCCTGGCTTAATGAGGTTACGCTAGGCACATTGTAACCCCGTTGGAGAGTCTTCAGACTAGTATAGCAGAGTACAAGTGAAATAACGATTTGCATCCTTTTCTTGATTTCTTCGCCTGAGGTGCATCTCGCACCCTTCAGCTGCCCCGGATGGCCACGGGTTCTGTTGGTGAGCGAGAGGAAGCAAAGCCGCTCTCTCTGCTTCCTCCACGTGGTACCTTTGTGCTGCTCCATCACATCCTCCCTCCCTTCCTTCTGTCCAAGCTGAGTAGTCCCAGACGTTGCCGTGCCTTCCATGGGGAAGCTGCTCCAGCCCTCGGGCCTTTGGCTCGCCCTTCTCTGCACGGCGGCATCTCTAAAGTAAGCCTGTTGGCGCGCGGCCATCAGAACGGTGTGCGCATTGAGCAGAACGGAATGGGAAGCTTTGCTGTCCCGCTGTGGGCAGCTCTGCGTGGGCCTGGGGGGGCCCAAGTGGGTGGCAGGCTCTTGCGGCCCGTGTGCCAGGATTTGCCCCAGCCGAATCCTGAGAGGCAGCTGCGGGCCTGCAGAGCACTGAGGAGTCTCCATGCCTAAAGGAGCCGTGGGTCGGCCTGTCCAGGCCCTGCTGCAGGGAACTCGGACCCTTCCTGGTTCATGTGCCTGGGGAGGGGGACTTCTAAGGAGGGAGGCTAAGGAACGCCTTCAGGCTGTGGGGCTGCTCCGTGCACGGGCTCCCACGGCCCGTGAACCGTGCCGCACAGGGCGTTGCGCCGACGTGCGGAAGGCTGGGGACAACACTGGGCCGCTCTGCTCTGTCTCTTGTGCACATGCTCTTGACGGGCAGCTAGCTCCAGGTGGAGTTTTAGAAATATATTTATTTTATTTAAAACTCTCTATACCATCCTCTACTGGAACGGTCTTACAATGAAACAAAGGGAAGCACAGCATCATTTCTATACAGTAAAACCCCAATTAAAATAACAATCTAAACCTTAAAATATGGGGAAAATAAAAAGGTTTTGGCCAGGTGCCAAAAAGAATAAAGTTTCGGCACCAGGCAAACCTCTCTGGGGAGTGTATTCCATAACTTTAAAGGGTTCATACCTCCAAAATAAGGGACGTTCATCCAGCTGCCTGTCAAACAGAGGACTGCCCCTAGTAAAAGGAGACACATGACCACTCTAGCTTGCTAGAAAGCTAGTGTCAGTCACTGCCCTCCAATCCTGTTCTTTCTGTGTCCCCTGCCTCTCCTGCCAGGCCAAAGTTCTTCTCACCTGGGCCCCAGCAGGTGAGTACAAAGCACTGTGGGACGGGGTGGGGAGGGGGCTTGTATCCGGAAGGGAAGGTCTCTGGCCCCTTTTGCAGGACGATGTGAATTTAAGCAGCCATGCGGATCCCGCAGCCTGCTTGACGGGGGCTAACGCGCCCTGTGGCCTCTGCTTCCCTCCCCTCGCTTCACCTGTTGGGGAAGGTGAGCAATAGCTGACGTGCCTTAGTCCTCGAAGAGCAGCTCCTCTGGCTGCTGTCCAAGGCAGGAGATGCTTCACAGGGAAGCCAGGTAGGGTGGTGCGCAGGTAAGCATGCCAGGCTGGGCTTGGCATGGTATCCCCACCGGCCCGGCACACGTGATCCAAAATCTTTCCCATTTCTCTGGGAAGGATTGTGGGGGCTTTGGCGGTAGGTCCACACCCAGACAATATTCATGCAGGTCCTACACTTGCTTTGTTTCATGGGGGGGGGGTGCACATATGGGGCAAGCCTTGTGTGGGCAGATGGATGTGGGGATGGCCCCCCAAGAGGAGTGAGTCAACGGCCTCTGATGATATTCCCGGGAGCAGGAGCACGGCGTCAGAGGAGAAACCTGCCCCGGCTCTGTAGCCTTCACAGCTACCTTCCTGCCTCCAGGTGCAGAGGGGCAGGCTGTCCCCTGCCCAATGTTAGATTCTCCTGGGGGTCCAGCCAGGCTGTGCGCCGGGAGTGGGAAGCATTGCCACCTTGTTCGTAGCCCCAGGTAGCAAGAAGTCTTGGGCCTCCGTGACAGAAGGTCCAATCCCCGCCTCCCACAACCTGCTCTCTCTTCCCAGGTCCTTCCTGAGAACCCACCAGAGGGTAAGTGCCACGCAGTCAAGTTTCTCCTTTCAGCCTTCTCCAATATGATGCACTCCAGATGTGCTCAACTAGAGGTATTACTACCACTCTATACGACTCTGGCGCGCCCGCAACTGGAGTCTTGTGCTCAGTTCTGGGCCCCGCATTACAGGAAGGATATAGCCAGGTTGGAGTCAGTGCAGCGCAGGGCCACAAGGTTGGTGGCCGGTTTGCAGGGGGTGCCGTATGAGGCGAGACGGAGGGAACTGGGTCTCTTCAGCCTGCAGAAGAGGAGACTCAGAGGGGATCTGTTGGCGACATACAGGTGTGTGAGGGGTGTCACATGGAGATGGGTAGAGACCTGTTCTCCCCTGCAGAGGAAGGCTGAACGCGCAGCAACGGAGCCAAGCTCAGGGAGCCAAGGTTCCATCTGGATGCCAGGAAGCACTTCCTGACAGTCAGGACCCCGAGGGTGTGGAATGGGATTCCATGAGAGGTCGTTGAGGCCCCATCAGGGCAGGTGTTCAAAGATAGACTGGACATGCACATGGTGGGCATGTCGTGAGTGGAGCTGGCTGGTGCCGGAGGTCAGACTAGATGGCTCGGGAGATCCCTTCTGACTCGCTCTGTTTCTATGTTTCTACAACTCCTATGGTCCCCCACTTCCAGTCAGGCTATAGATAGTAGAAGTCGTGGCAGGGGAAGACTGGTCTATATCCAACTCTTTATGGCATTGGGGTGAGCAGAAAGCCAGTCTCCTGATGTTCTGGACTTCGGCTCCCAGCATTCATGACCTTAGCCAAGCTGGGTGAAGCATCTGGGCTTTGGAGTCCCAATCATCTGGAGAGCTGCCTTCTCCACACCTGCTACATGTATTCTGTGTGGGAGAAAAATCTTCCTTGCTGCAGCAGCAACTTATCCCTCCCCGGTTCCTGCTGGTGCACCCCAAATAAAACAGGCACCCCGACATCACCATCTCAGACTGCCCTTTGGAAGGGTTTGCACAAATTCACACTCGGGCCTAAGCAGAGTTGCCACAATGCACACTTACAAAACGGAGCTGAATTCTTGTACATTCCTAAAAAAAACCCCGAATCTGTCAATGAGCGGGTGATGAAAGAAAAGATAGCTGATCATCCGCTAAAGGCTTTACCAAAACTTCATATGCCTTCCTGCACAGTGGGCAAAGTCTGGAAACCCCTGAAGTATCGTGTCTTTTCTAGGTGGATACCTGAAAAGGAAATCCCTGCTAGAGGTGAGCATTTAGATGGCGCTGGAGAATTTGCTGCCTTGCTCACCTTTGTAAAGCAGCAGGTAAAGGTGGAATCTTTTTCATCGCTCTGAATTCTTCCTGCGTGGAGCAACGGGCAGCCTGTGTGTGGTTGATCCCAGGTGGAATCATGCCAGAAGGATGACGGGGCCGACATGCCTTCTCTCCAGCAGGGATCTTGGCCCCAGCCGCTGCACGGAAGTGAGACCTTCCACGGTGGGGGAAAGAGAGTGTTCTGAACATTGCTGGTCAGGGTTGAAAGTGGGGGCTTTCTCCAGCTATTTTGCCTGCACGGGTGCCCCCTCACCCCCGCTCTTCTTCCTCAGGATTCCGGCATGCAGAACAAGGCCTGGTATGCAGGGAACTGCGACAGGCGCACGGCTGAAGTTGCCCTCCTCCAGTTTAATAAGGTGCGTGCGCATGCCTTGTCATTCAGCCAGCAAACGGTGGCTTTGGGGGAATGGCTTAAGTCTGGTTGGTGTGGCTGGATGGTTGAGAGCTCAGCTTACAGATGCTCGGAGACCAAGGTCCTGCCAAGGGCGGAGGGGAAGTGGCCACCTCGGGAGGCAGGAGTGCAGTTCTGCTAAGAGTTGGCAGAGCAAGAGACGGGTCCATCTAAGTCCCAAGGGCCAGGAGGCGCTGCTCAAGCGCTGCTGATGAGCCCAAGCTGGCAGAAGTGGGAGAAGCACAGCCCTGTGAGGGTTGGTCCCATTCAGTTCCTGGAGTGCCTTGGACCAGCCTTGGGGACCCTCAGAACACAAAGACCTGCAGCTGTCTCGGGACAGAAAGAGCAAAAGCTCTGCTATTATATGGCAGCTGAAAGCCTGACCTTGTGAGGGCAGCTTTAGGCTTAAGAACGGATTCCCGATCTGATCTGGATGCCTGGAAGGACTTCCTGACAGTCAGGACCCCGAGGGTGTGGAATGGGCTTCCACGGGAGGTGGCTGGGGCCCCATAGGTGCGGGTGTTCAAGGATAGGCTGGACATGCACATGGAGGGCATGTCATGAGCAGAGCTGGCTGGAGCCGGGGGTCAGACTAGATGGCCCAGGAGGCCCCTTCTGACTTGCTCTGTTTCTGTGATCGTGAATCCATGTTGCAAGGCTTGCTTCCCATGTGCATGTTAATGTCCTTGTCCTGAAAGGCCTGACCTTTGGGGCGCACCTCAGCCCTGCCTGCCTCTCCTGAAGGTTCTTCTCTTTGTATTGTGCCCACCCTAGCAAGCTGCCTACATGATCCCCAGCCTTCCCCTAAACTGTGTACATAACTGGTAGGTTGTAAAAGCATCTTTTTGACCCCTCCGGGGGCTGCCCAGATGCCATGTTTCCTGAACGTCTGAATACACTGTGAATGTTCTTTTGATCATACGGACTCTCAACGGGTGTTTTTTCCTAGCCCTGACAGCTACAACTCTGCACGAACCATGATCAGCACAGAGACGATGCTGGCCTGCGTTATCGGGGTTCATGGTGGGCTGGGTAGAATCCTGAGGAAATCAAATGCATTCAGTGTCAGATAACTGTATTTCCACAAAAGGGCATGTCTTTTTAACATTAGTGCCCTTTCCTCTCCCCGCATGTCAGGACGGCGCCTACGTGGTGAGGCAAAGCTCCCGGCAGGGTGGGAGCCAGCCCTTCACGTTGGTCGTGCTATACAAAAAGTACGTCTACAACATTCCCATCCGCTGCGTGATGGACAGCAGCCAGTACACCCTCGGCAAGGCCGGCAAAGAGCACGAGGAGGTGGGTGCATGCGCCACAGCTGGCCCCTGTGTCTTACGTGCTTTGCAATCATTCCCCTGGTATTTTCCAGCTTTTTCCAGGAAAACTGAATCCAAAAAGCGGGTGCTTTGAGGAACGGAGGGGCCCTGATCTTTGCCCCCTCCTCTTTTCCTTGCCAGCTCTTTGACAGCGTTGCCAGCATCATCCAGTACTACTCGCAACACCCTCTGGTGCTGATCGACGCTCACACCGCCACCAAGGAGAAGACCTGCTTGTTGTTTCCGGTGAAGCCCTGATGGCCGCAGCCCAGAGACCAGCACGGGACACGGGTGGACGCGGACTTGAACGCCCGGCCCGGCCTCGGGCACCAGGCCGTCCCCTGATCTGCCGCAAGGCCAGGCAGATCCCTGCCCTCCTCCATTCCCTTCCCGTTGTGTTGCAAGAGCAACGCAGACAAAAGTCCAGGAGAGAGAAGAGCCTCACCAGCCCTTTGAAGGACACCCTGCTCAGCCTGTCTTTTCAGCTTGATTGCATTGCATGGAAGGATCAGTACTGCGGGTGCTTCTCCAGCCGCAGTGCAGAAAACATTCCAATATGTAGGGCACTTAATTTAGCAGTAACTTTCAGCACAGTTAGGAAAATGTACCGCATAACCCTCTACCATTTGCCCATTCAATCGAATCGAATAGTAGTGGATTTGAAAGGGGCCTACAAGGCCTTCAGGTCCAACCCTCTGCTACGCTTCCAGATGTGTCACCCATCCAGCTGCAGACTCACCCCTTTGCAGCTTAGCAACAGTGGTTCAACAGGCAACCTCAGTGGACAGCTGTGTCGCCAGCACCACACGGTTCTTGTGCCAGAACTGCCCAGAGAGCTTGGGCTACTGGGCAAGAGAGAAGTTAAATGAATTTTGTAGCCTCCTGATATTGTGTAGCTGTCTTTAAAATACCTTTCCAGAACCAGGTGCTGAAGCAAATGAACTTCAGGAGCAGAAGGTGGATGGAGTTTGAAAGAGAACTTGCTTTGCTCAGCTGCAGGAATGTTGTTCTCTGCTTTTTAAGTCTTTATGTTTCACGAAACGTTGAGAGTTATGCCCAATTAACAGTATATTCTAAGCAAGTTTGGTTTCAGTCTATTGCTGTTATATCTTGGTTTAATGTGTACCGGACTCTTTTGGGCCTTATACACCTCGGATGGGCAGCCCCGAGAAACTGAGATGGGCCGGAGGCAGATGCTGGGAAGGCTTTGTTCACCAAACTGAAGTTGGAAGGCCCCCTGGGTGCGCCCAGTCCTCTTGAGCCCACATGCTATGGGGAAGGCTGTTCTGGGGAGTGAACGATCTCCTGCTTCCACCATCTCTCCCGAGCGGGGATGGCAGAAAGCCGCCACCCTCGGAAAGAACAGTGGACGCCCCATCCCAGCAGGGCTGGCTTGGCACGGTGTGACGTGCATGGAATAAAACATTATCAGGTAAAGGGCCAGTAAGAGTACGGGAAGAGACCCCCTGGCTCGGCAGCCCAGAACCCAAAGCGGGCTGGCTTCACCGCTGTCATGGATGCGTCAGCTCTTCTGTGCCTTGGAGAGGTTCTTGGTCGCCAGGTGAGGGCGCTCTTGTCCTCAGTATGGAAACAGCCACCTTGTCCATTTCCTTCCACGAATTTACCCCTCGGCAAGGCCAGGGTGCGAGCAGGCAACACAAGCAGTGTGTCTGTGTGTGGCTGCAAGGGGGGGTCGCCGTTCTCGTGTCCCCATCCGGGGATCCCAGTGACTCTCCCTGCCCGTCCACCACCCCATAAGCTGCTCCTTGTCTTCCCGAAAACTGGAGCTGCAACGGCACCATTTCGGCGCAAAGATGCAGACCAAAAGCCCATAGATGTGGTTGCAGCACATGCCCCGGGGCAAGTGGAGGAAGGTGGGCAGGTGGCTCCCCACGGAGAGTGAGAGAGACGGTTTTAGGGGCCGTCCCCGGAAAGCGTCGCTCGTGTGCACCGGGCCTAGCTTCTCTGAAAGGGAGGCGGCGGCAGATCTGGGCGGGGTACAGTATGTGGCCTTTCTTGCCCGCCCTCAAGGACTGCCCAGTCCAATTCCCAGTTGGGCTGCCCAGCCTCAAGAGGAGAGCTGCTGCCCATCAAAATTTAGCCGCTGGACACTCAACCCAGCAGGCAGGTACACACACACACACACACACACACACACACGTTGCCCTCTTTCACACCATGGTGGGACAATCAAGTTGCTTCTTGGCATAGAGATGCGTGTACGCAAATAGTGTGCAGATTTCTCTCCTCTTTCCTTTCGGAGATTCATATGTAGCCCCCCTAAGCAACATGCTGCGGCTGTTGTGCGGCCTGTTCCTCGCCTCTTCCTTCGCCTCACAATTCTACCCGTCTAGAGTGGAAGGCTTCCAGAACGCCTCCTAACCCACAGTAGCTGCTCACCAGCTACACCACCAGCCACACAAGAGAGACACCAAAACTGGGAGCCAGACCCAGTTGTGCTCTGAGTGCTGGACTGAGGAGCTGGGGGACCCAGGTTCCAGTCCCCATGCATCTCGCTAGGCGCCAGTTGCGGTTCCTCACAAGAGGAAATCTGCTGCTGCTGCTGTTGCAGGTGGTCGGGTGGTCCTACCTTATGGCAAACTTATGAATGAGTCACCCTTCAAAATCTCCTTGATAGCCCTGCTCAGCTCCTGCTTCTTGGATGGAATCGACCCATCGCATAGTTGGCTTTCCTCTCAGTCTCCTGCCTCCAATCGCCTTCTGTTATGTAGCTGAAGGAGCGCCTCCGCTTGGTCATTTTGCTTTCTGCAGCATGCTCTGGCTTGCTCTGATCCAGGACTCCCCTGTTTGCATTTCTGTTGTTGTAGATTTTGCAGCTCTCCTCCAGCTCGCCTCTGTTTCAAATGCATCCATTTTTCCTGCCAGCTCTCTTCACTGTCCAGCTGTCCCACCCATGCAGAGAGAGGGGTACAAATGCAATACAGTGACAACTGTTCTAGTTCTTGAAGGCGTCAACAGCAAAGTAACGTTCATTTTTGTGCGTGATCTCTGGCATACGCCATCCATCAATGCTGCGCAACTGTTTTTGTGTCTGCTACTCAAAATTTAATTGATTATTAGTTGCTTTGTAGATTGGGAACTCTATTAGTCCCTGGCAAACCTATTAGCTGGCCGTTCTTTTCCTTTTTAATTACAAGATGACCACACAAATGTGACATGAGCAGATGCGGAGTCTGTGCGTCCTTCAGGAAGTAAGGAAACATTCTTGACTGGGCTGGACTCACCTTTGGTTTCTTTGATCCATCCTTCCCTTTGCCTCTTCCTGCTCAACGTGTGGTCGATTTAGATATTTATTGTTGCTTGTTTGGGTGCACTTTGGTGTGAGGATTGCAATTCCCCAGGCTGCAGTCAAGAAAATGCATTCCTTACTTCAAAAGTGGGCTTTTGAACGCTCCCTGACGAAAGGGGACTTTTTGCACCTGGAATGCAAACCTCCATCACAGGAGGTTTAAATATTTGTGAGAGCAGCATGTGGGAATTCTGGCTTGCCTAGGAAGCCAGGATGGTGCTGAGATGTCCGTTCCCCCTAAGTAGTGCCCCCAGTGTGTGTACTGGGGTGCAAGTTACTGTCCCCATTGTCTGCTAGGACATCGGCCGAGAACAAAGCATCGAGTTGCCCCAAGCTTTATGCTGCTGACATGGGGTCAGCCTTCATCCCGGAGGCTGTTGCGCGCTCTTCCCAACCCCAGTTCTGGATTCTCTGCATTCCCAGGCTTCCTTTAGCAACTTCCCCTATGCAGGGTCACTTACACCGTTACCATGTCAATACCTTCATCCCCAAGTGAAGGCAAAGTCCCACACGACACAGCTGTGGAGTTCACAAATGGGGCCTGCCTGCCAGACCAGAATAGGTAGTCCCTTCAGGGCGGCCTTCCCAATGTGTTACGCTGATCGGGCTGCAGGAGATGTTCTGGGGAGCCGTGGGTATTGGCGGAGACGGGCAGAACGGGATCCCCAGAATGGAAAGGGCCACGCTGGTTCCTTGCGCCCACGGGAGGTGAGACACCCATGCATGCGACGTCCACCCCGCAGGTAATCAGAAACTTGGTTTAGGCAGCCGTGAGATCTATCCTCTCATGTGACTTGGCCTGTCTGAGGTGAGAACTGCATGTTACCCTGGCAAATGCGCAAGTGTGTGTGTATCTTTGTGTATATGCCATGATTTGTTTGAAAAATGACTGCATTAAGACTATGCTCCGGATCCACAAAGTCAGGAAAAAGGAGGCCAAGAGCGCGACAGAGCTGCCCCATCACCATGAGGATGTTGTGTAGCATCCCTGGCGTGCAACTGGTCTCCCATGCAGCCACGCTCTCGTTTCATGCATCAGGTCCAAACCCCGATAGGGAGGATGAGGTTCCTACAACCAGCACAGACGCTCCAGGTTGTCCTTGCCTTCTGAAGCATCTGGGCCTCAAAGCTTTGGCAACTCCTGGGGCAAACAGGGAGACAAAGAGCAGATTGAAGAAGGAGCAGAGATGGATGGGAGAAGGTTGGTTGGACGGGGACACCCAAATGCCTCCTCGGCAATGATAAGCCAATGAAAGAAATTCAGGGACCGTGTTGGCTGGACACCTCCCAAGGCTTTGTCCAGGTGAAACTTACCATTTGCAGTCGAATTAAAAAAATAATTGCACAGATTTTTTCAAACCTTGGATCTGAAATGTCTTGGATTAAAAAAAATAAAACGAAGTGAGATGAGTCAGAAAGTCACTAGGATAGCTTGAACAGAGTTGTCAGCTCTTAAAACAAGCTGCAGAAAGTGTTCACTGGGCAAAACTGAGTAATAGTTTTTAAAATCTATTTTAAAACAAGTGCAGGAAAAGGGCTTGCAGCTGCCACAGCAGGAGAGTCATCCTTAAGATGCTGCAGGAGAACCGAGACAGACGGAGCAGGAAACAGCTAAGGGTGTTGTGGGGATCCTGCATTGCTTCACACACAATCCAACCTGCCGAGCTTAATAACAGAGTAGTTTGCTCTGGCATGTGAACTTGCCCAGTCTGTCTCACCCCCCCCCCCCCGCAAGCAAACACCCTCCCAAGCTATCCAACAGAGGAAATGATGCCAGATTGCCTCATCTCTGTTTTGGTTTCGTATTGTTACAGGCTTTTCCCTTCCCGGAGTGGTGCAGAGTCCACGGACAGTTTACTATCTTTGTGATGAGAGAAAGCACTCCATAGTTGATGCAACAATGCTAGCTTGGATTAATTGTCACCTTCCCAGACTTTGAAGAGTATTA